TTTCACCTTCACTGAGATCATCTTCTGCACTGCCTTAAGAGACCAGAGGAGGCACTGTCATCAAGTGCGAGCTCTTTTCCCCAATCACTGCGTCAAGCCGAATGCTTTATTTGACTCCTACTCCAGCCTTAACGTGTTAGTTCACAAAGAAATAAACTGAAAAACAAGCAGGGGTGAGTGTGAGTTGCTCTACTCGGTACAGAGCTGTTAAGCCACTGAAACCGCTGCAGTGAAGCGTGGCCGTTGTAGCTGTTGGATCAGTTCGAGAACGTGGAACAAGAAAAGCCAAGACAGGCTCAACAGACCGAAGTGGTTCTGTTCAAGAGAGAAAAATGCTGGGTAAACATCTTTATACACTTATGTTGGGATTGGAAAAGAGAAGGTACAAGGCTGCTGGTGACTTTAAGACAAAATGAAGATTGACCTATTAAAGGCATATAAGGAGAGCTGTTCACTGAGCTTTTGTTGTGGATGGCACACATTCCACGTGCTCCCAGTCCAACCTAAAGGCCCACCTGTGCAGAGCTTAAAGGGATGTAATCTCTTTCCCAGACCTCTACCAGCAAACCTCCAACCTACACCGTGGAGCGTAAACAGCTTGGACACGTGACGCCCTAACCTCCTCGACAAGCCTGCTAGTTCAACAACTTTTGCAGACATGCAACATTTAACCAGCCTGTCACCTCGTTTTGTTTTCCTCCAGCAGATAGTTAGAGGCTATGGCAGGGGCCAATCTTTCTTTTGTCTTATGTTTCTATGATGACAGAGGCAGAACTGTAAAAAGCCAGCAGCAGGTTGTGAGAATGTTGTGTAGGCTTCAGAAGCTGGTGAAATGATATTTAGCTTCAGCCAACTGGAGCTTTTTGTCTTGATTTTACCTGAAAATGTTGTGTACACTGAGGATTTCAGAGCCAACTGAAAGGTCCCATAATGACGGCTTTTCAGTGATGCAGTTTTTACGCTTTGACAACAAAGAACAAGTCCCAACCTCAGCTGCCCCTTCCTTAAAATAATAAACGGACCTCCGTGTTAACCGATCAGCACAGAGAAGCAGAGGACTCGCTCGGAGCGAGTTTGCGTTAGAGCAACATAGCACACAATGATTCAGGCAACAGATGGATATTCACATCCAACGGCAGCTCTCGCCTCGACCTGGAAAGCGAGCTGGCCAATTAAGCAGCAGCACAACGATACATTATAAATGGATAAAAGGAGAAGAAACCACGAAGACAGACTGATTCGCTGACAGCCGACTTACAGATAAACACCACAGCAGTACAGAAGTGCACTTATTGCTGAACAACAAACAGACTCTGTGGTGTCTTTGTGCAAATCACGGTGTGGCAGACGTCCCAGTCAAAGTACCCAGTTCTGGACCTGTGTGTTTGATGTCATGGCAATTTGGCAACAGGACAAACACACCTGGAACGTCAGGTGCGATATATACATCTATATATCCTTTACATAGAATAATGACACTTACTCCATCAAAGCATTCATTATATATGTGTATAATAGATTTATCGATTTTTAAAAAACGACACACAGAATGAAGAGCATATCCTGACTCTTACGTGTTGGTCCCTTAAGGCTTGCTAAGCTGAAATGACAAAATTGTCGGTTTGATTTTGATCATCTCATGTTTTTGTAAATGTACATTCTAGTAGAAAAGACAAAAAAGAAAATCATAATAATAATATGCAACCTGAAAAACCTATGGCTTAGTAAATATGCATTTGCTATATTTAAATGAATGCACCTCACTGCTTTTTTGTTAAATATCCTACAGAGAAAGAATGTTCATCGTTTGATTCATGCTGTCGTCGTCAACACAGAAACAGAACATCGGAGAGTCCGAGTTTACACTTAGAGAGCGACATCGTTAATGCTTACGAGTCTTTATGGTTCTTTTCGAGAGAGCTCTGTCTGCAAACAGTCTACGGTGCTGGAGCTCCAGAGGATGAGCTGTATGAGAAGTTCTCGTTGAGGTGGCGAGGTGTTCCAGGGGAGGTCTGATGGTATGGCACCAGTGTGTCGGTTGGGCCGTGGGCGCAGCGGCGTCCGGTGTGCGTCTCCTCTTCCTATCCTCACTGTATCGCGGGTATGCATAGGATGAGCTTGCTGCTCAGTGGGGTCTCTGCCAAGCCTCCTCTGACGCACACCACACAAAGCTGCATCCGCAAAAACCCACGACAGCCAACACAGGACACGGTGGCTTTGAAGCACGGCACTTTCCAGTAACGACTGGCTTGGAAGGCATGGTGGCAGCTGTTGGTTGTTGTTCTTGCCGTTTGTGGTTTAGCAGAGCACAGTATAGAAAATAGACACATTTATCTACTGTATATTGCATATGTTGCAGCATGTTTGCCAGAAATGAATGACTTCGCCACGTCCGCTTTGCTTTTTGAAAACCACACTGAATGAGCGGAGCAGCTCGAACAGCAGAAAGTATAAAGGTGATGCATAAATCAGAGAGTGGGTCGACGAGCCGGTTCAGTCCCCAGAGCTACTGTAACACAAGAGGAGCGAGGAAAACGGGAATGCTCACGGCAGACGCTGGTCCTGCTTCTGGTGGCAGCACCCACTCAGCTCCACAGAGCTGCCCACAGCAGCCATGCGTCATTACAGCTGCCGTGTTGTTCAGAAAGCCACAGCTTGTCTTTGAACTGTACTCAGGGCACTCGCTGCGAAAATACTCACATTATTCATAGTAACAAAGATACTCCTGTTATTGAAGTAAACATTACAGTTGTGCAGTTGCTTTGTGCAGTTCTCTGCTGACAAATATCCACATCGTTCTGATATTTTACATTAATTAAAATGTGAATTGTGACATCCTGCTAATAGCAGTAAAGTATTCCCTGGTGGAGCCTTGTTCTGTGGTTCTCACTTGTTTTTCTTTTTAAATGAGAGCCAGCAGTCTGACCTGCTGAGCAACATGGCGGCTGGATATGACGCATGGCGCCAGCTCCAATGCAGCGTCTACATAGAGAAATCTGTACAAGCTACAAATGAGAGTGTTCCTATCAATGCTGTCCTCACTGTGATCCCAAACCTGCTGCAAACCAAACGCACGTGGCCCGTGTTCAAAGGTACATTCAAATATACATTCAAAATGTACAGTGCTGTGCAAAAGTCTCCACTACACTGTTTAGGTTTGACTTTTAAAGTGTAGCAGCTCTCTGAAGGTCAATGTGGGCTTTTCTATCCACTGTGACCATTTTCAAAGGAATCTGTTTGTTTGTTTGTTTGTTGGGCCACTAAACACCGACGTGAATCCTTCATGCATTAAAACCTAACTCAAAGGATGAACCGGCGCTGTCTCTGTGCACAACAGGCACCTTAACAACGATCCTTTAAACTAAGGTTACGTCATTTTAGGCACTTGGTTTTTATAAAACACTCTGGTGTGTTCAATAGAGTCTAGGAACAAATTCAAAGAGGCATGAAAGTGTATTTCTGCACTATGAAGGTGATTAGTGTGTGGTGTCCTTAACAATGTGAGGAAATCAGGACAAAGCACACACTGGCAGGGTTACAATCTACAGCAGACGATAATTATTGGAGCAAAGACCTGACGAGATCCTTCTGGCTCTCCCGCTGCTACATCTATGGTTGGCCAGTGGTCAGAAATGGTGTCAGTGGATGGGCGGAGTCAAAGAGCCATTCTTACATAAACCGAGAGACAAAGCTGAGGGATGCCAAACTACACAAGGAGGGAGCTGAAGAATCAGCAGCAGCAGGTCTGATGAAAACGTGAAGGTTTTGGTTCAAAATGTCATCGCTGTGTAGGGAAAGAGCACAACACTGACCGTCCATCTGTTTGGGCCTCAGCCACAGCTGTTAGTCTTCATTCTGATTGGCCAAATATCAACCTCCTGCCTTTAAGCCTATTAGAATTAGAACGTCAGTGTCTGCACACGTTTCTCATGTTCTAAGGGAAACAGAGAGGAATGGGCTTGGCTCAAAACTTTTGCACAGCACTGTAGGCTGGGTGTGTGAGCGAACATGTTAACAGAACAAGCTGTTCCACAGAAAAGTCTTATTTTTAAATGGATTCTTGAACTGAAGCGTCAGAGCACAATGTTGATGTACAGATGTGGGGCTGTGACTCAGAGGCGTCCGGGTCACTTCCAGCTGTCGCTCTGGTTTCACAGACCCTGACCAGCTCGGGACTGTGTGTGTCTGTTTGTGGAGGAGATGCGCGATGGAGGCACGGATACACTTCATACGATGAAAGAAAAAAGGAACAATGAGTGAAGGCTTCTTCCTTCCAGCCATCCTTCATCTGATCCATCCAATCAGCCGTTCATGTGTGTGTGTGTTAGCCCACACACACATTCTCAGTTTAAGTCCTGATTAGTCAGTCCATGAACGAAATGAGGTGACAGAGGAAACGTATCACTTCCCTTCAGAACAAGCAGGAGGGGCAATCAGTGAATCATAAAGATAATAATGCTATGGATGAAAGTCATAGTGTGTGTGTGTGTGGGCGTGTGCGTGTGTAGGTGTGTGTGTGGGCGTGTGTGTGTGTAGGTGTGTGTGTGGGCGTGTGTGTGTGTGTGTGTGGGCGTGTGTGTGTGTGTGTGTGGGTGTGTGTGTGTGTGTGGGCGTGTGTGTGGGCGTGTGTGTGGGCGTGTGTGTGGGCGTGTATGTGTGGGCGTGTATGTGTGGGCGTGTGTGGGTGTGTGGGCGTGTGTGGGTGTGTGGGCGTGTATGTGTGGGCGTGTGTGTGTGGGCGTGTGTGTGTGTGGGCGTGAGTGTGTGTGGGCGTGTGTGGGCGTGTGTGTGTGGGCGTGTGTGTGGGTGTGTGGGTGTGTGGGTGTGGGGCGTGTGTGGTGTGTGGGCGTGTGTGTGTGGGCGTGTGCGTGTGTGGGTGTGTGGGCGTGTGTGTGTGGGCGTGTGTGTGGGCGTGTGTGTGGGCGTGTGCGTGGGCGTGTGCGTGTGTGTGTGGGCGTGTGTGTGTGGGCGTGTGTGTGGGCGTGTGTGGGGCGTGTGTGTGGGCGTGTGTGTGGGCGTGTGTGTGGGCGTGTGTGTGGGCGTGTGCGTGGGCGTGTGGGGGTGTGTGTGGGCGTGGTAGTTGTTTCTACATCTTGATCCCCTCCTGTTGGCTGAGCTGAGACAGCGTTTTCTTGATTCGCAGAGCAGTGAGTCGTGCAGCTCCGTTGGCGTACCAGCACTCCCTCATGATCTTTGCCATCACCCGTAAGGCCTGCAGGAGGAAGAGCACACAATCAGCCTCATCAACTCAACGCACACATAAGTGTGCAGTCTGCATACTTGCTGCAGGGCGCCATGTTCAAACCAATGATGCTTTTTGTTCTTCTATAGAGGTTGCACTTCACTGTCACCTTCATGTCCCAAAGGTATTCGTTCAAATCCGGCCTCCAAACACATGGAGCTGGCGGGGTTAGGTTACCCCAGCTTCCCTCTGGGATTAATAAAGTTCCCCTGACTCTGACACTGGTCGCCCACAGGTGTGAATAGCTGTGTCAGTGTTAGCCATGGCAACGTGTCGTACACAGCTGAAACTACTCTTCGTTTGCTCAACGCTACAGCTTTCTATGGCTGTCTGAGCCAGTCTCGCTCTGAAATGTCTTTTTCTTCCCTCAGTAAATCAGAAACTTCCCAGCAGACTCTTCTAATCTGTACGGCTTGCCTTTGCATGTACTCTGCTGGAAACACCACCTGATATGTTCACCTCAACACACACAGTCCCTCATCCATCCCACTCATCGGATTCAGCTGTTCCCAAGCTCAGGTACAGGAGAACAGAGCTGATATACAGATCAGTCCAGAACAATAAGAAGGAGAAAACATGGCAGAGCTCTAAGGTCAAAAGCACTGACGACCAAAAAGAACACAAAAGCCTGCGTGAAGGTTGTCAGTCATCCAGCTCGTCGTAGTCGAGCTCGGAAAGAAAAGCATCTGGACTTGTTTCCTCGAAGACGTTTCATCCGAGAAGCTTCTTCAGTTCTAAGAGGAACTGGTTTAAAAGACGAGTGAAAGAAGCACTGTGAGCGACCATCTTTGAACAGAGGCGGGGCTTACCACACCAACTGTCTGCCATCTATAATCCAGTTTTGAGATCCTTAACACCCACTCACATCCTGGGCCATCTGACCTCAGGAAATCACATGATAGGGTGGGGCCAGGTCTCACGGCTGATTGTGACCCACACCTGTTTTCACACCTTGTCTCATGTGATTAGGTAGAGGATCAATAGGGGGCCCACGGACCTCTTGGGGGGACACTCCCACAGGGCTTAAATCTGGGAACTGAAGAAGCTTAAAGAAGTCCAGACGAGCTCCTTAGACAACACCAAGGCTGGTCTCACGTTTGCCAAAAACAACCGGATGATCCCTCAGTATTTGGGAACATATTCTACCAAGATCTGAGAGGAAGTTGAACTCGTTGGAAGCTTTGCACGCTATTACATGTTCAAAATAACAGCATTTCATAAAAAGATCATCATAGCAACCGTCAAACATGTGATGGTCAAGGCAGAGTCAATGATTCACAGCCTGGTTTCTGCACCTGACAGAGCCGTGAACCTTCTGTTGCAGGGCCAGGTAGCATAGCTTTGTTATCTTATCAGTTCAAAACTGCTCTCACGTTACTTTAATTATCTTTGTGTTGAAATATTAAACATGTATCTTTGACAAACAAGCGAAACACAAGAACACTTTTTGACAGTACTGTAGTTGCATGAAGGTACTCTTGGTAACGTCATCGTCGTACTGGATGATGACAACATTCGCATCTATGTGGATGGTAACACTGGATGAACTGGGCCCACTGGTCTTGGTGTGGATAAGTGAGTGGGTGATAACTACCAGTGAGTGAGACTCGTCCTACCTCACAGCTCTGCCAGCGGTTGGGGATGTTGGGCCGAAGCTTCTGCTCACAAACCACCCTTCTCATCTCCTCCACTGATGGATCTGACTGGACCAGGTCGTAGTAGGGCAGCTGGTAGTCCTCGTGAATGCCTGACAGAAAAACAGCTTGTAAATACTGCAAAAACTAGCTCTAGTCAGTTCATTGCTGCCACCTAATGAACTTTATTTGACCCTCACCTCCCATGGAGCAGCGACTGGCAATCTCCCAGAAGACGAGGCCCATGGCGTAGATGTCAGCTCGTTTGAAAGACTCAAAATGCTTCATGTTTATGGAGTCGTCCAGAACCTCTGGAGCCATATACCTGAGGACGGATACGACGGGCTGGTGAGCAACGCTTGGTCCAAAAACACAACCAAATACAGTCCCCACTGAGACTGTGCACTGTTACCCACAGTGACTACCCACAGTGTTTACCCACAGTGCTTTGAGTGGCCACAAGATGGCAGTAATGTACTAGAATGACACAAACAGCAGCTTCATGACACCAGTGCTGGAGATCAAGAAGAGATACTGGTTTTATAAAAACACACACGAATAGAAAAACTGAAAGGACTACCACTACTTTGCAACCATCATCTTCTTGCGTTACTAACGTTTTACAGGTGTAGAGTGAAAGGTCAAAGGTTACCTTTTGGTCCCTACTCTGTGGTTCGGAGCGATGTCGATGGTGTCGGTGGCGGAGTCGTGCCGCACAGCCAGACCCAGGTCAGCGATGCAGCATGTCCCGTTTTTCTTCACCAGGATGTTCTTGGACTTCAGGTCTCTGTGGGCAATAGCTGGCTTCCCTGCACACCCAGAGCTACAATCAGCACACGCCCACAGCTAACCAAGACATACACCCACGCTTACATGAACTTACAATAAATACTCGTTCCATCGTTTCCTCCCTAACTTGATAATATTTTAGTGCATGTATTATATTTTGTGAAGCACATGTAACGCAGCTTCTGACAAATGTGAGTACTGGGCCTTTTATGAATATGCTATGAAGTGCTTTCAGTTCAAACCTATTGTTCTGCTGCAGCCAATCACATTTCAGCTTGTCCTCCTCATGTGACTGGTATCAAACGTGGGCTATAATTAAAATCCCTTTAGGCTCCTTACTCAGAGGCCTGCCCACAGTGGGCATCACTGCATATCCGATGCAGAATGCCGTCCTCTCAGTATGGCCCTGTTCCATAATTACAAAAACACAAACAACACTGAGATATGTTTAGTTACCCGGCCTGGGACCTGTAAGGACAGAGCTGCCCCCACTGTGCTCTGCAGAACTGTCTTGATATACTTCAGGGGACATGAGAGGAACAGAAACTTCCAATAGGACAGTGACCCAGTTTTCATTACACACAGCAGTGTACTACAGCAGCGAGCTGCGTCACATACACGTCTGTCGGGACAGTATTGGACAACAAAGGGACAGTGGCGCGGCTGCCCCTCTGTTGGTCTTCCTTGGTCTCTTGTGTTCTGGGGGCCTCTGGATGTCTGGAGTCTTGATCTCCTCCATACCTGCTTCATACCCTGGAGGATGGGGCTGTGCCTTTAGACAATAATTCTGATGCAAAAGAGCCAAACGGGACAGGCAAAAAAACAAAAACAAAGGGTGATTTCTGACCAATAAGCACTGGCTTTGTGTGCGACGGCTCAGACTGATGTCTATACTCCAGCATGCCTGCCTCTATCTGACAGACTCCATGTTTCCTCAGGCTGATTTAAACATGCCTCAGTCGCCTCATGTGAGCTACTGAACGAGGTTTTTGTCACGCCTCCTCTGAGCATGTCTCCAGGCTGCTGAGCAGCACAGCTGGCACACTCGCTCGTTTGTGTTTACTATTCAAACATTTAGACGCCGATTCACCTTGGATACATACAGGCGTGAGGTTCTCACCTTGCGTGCCAACGATCTCCATGTGAAGGTGGGCGAGGCCGCTGGCTGTTGACAGAGACAGTTTGATCATGCCCTCCACTGTGACCGTGTAGCGGTTCAGGTAGTCGAACAGCGATCCGTGCTCATGGTAGTCCGACACCAGCCACAGCTGAGTCCACGTTCCATTATCTACACGCCGGGCACAGAAACATGGATCGTTATCACACTCCTCTCAGTACTGACACAGTGGCTGAAGTTTCAGCCAGCAGCTGATTGAAGTGTGTGATACGCACCACACCCTAACCTTTGTGTCTCCGACTCAGGGATGAGGTGCAGGGTGGAAAGAAAATGATTCAAATCTGGGTTTACATCCATCAGACCTTCAGCTTTCTACATGCCAACATCTGCGTTCACTCTCAAGTTAGAGCTCACTGTAGAGTGGGCAGCTGTGGGCTGCACCGGCTGATGAGTGATAACGCTGGGGATCAGCATTGCTGACAACTAAAGACCAGTGCTACCTTTCCCCACTGATGGGGAACCAGTGTTACCATTATTATGAAATTCATAATCAATATTAAAGGTTCTTGCACACCAGTGAAAGCTGCCCGTCTGCATTCACTGGAATGAACGTGTGCAGAGAACGTTACACTAACTTCATCAAACCTGAAGACGTGCTCGTTAACGTCCTTAACTTCCACGACAGAGACGTGCAGGCACGTAGCAAGTTACTGAAACTGTGGGTCTGAGGGACAAATGAATAAACAATGAAAACAACGATGATAAAGGAAAGAAATCAACAGCAAGAAGATTCTAATTCAGCTGAATTATTTCAATTACAGTGTAAAATTAATTCACCAAGAAAAAGAACATCAGTGATTATTAACGTCTGGCTCAGCGTGTCCTTCCTGTAACCGCTCACCCCAGATGGCCCCGCCCCTCCCTGAGCCTGGAGGTTTCTTCCTGTTAAAGGCGAGTTTGTCCTCCCCACTGTCACCAAAGTGCTGCTCATAGCTGTGCTGTTTTCTTTGTATAGTTGTCGGGTCTTTACCTTACAATATAAAGACGTGACCAATTCAAACTAGCCTGACATTTAAGCTACGTTCACTCTGCAGGTCTTAATGCTCAAATGCGACTTTTTTGTCTGCTTGTTCACACTACAAATAAAATGTGACAGCAAACGCCAGACCAACAGTATGTTTGACTGATGGCCTTAATGTAAAGACTTCGGACTTTACGTTTCCCAATTTTGCTTATGGCCTAATAATGATCCTTATTGCTGTTTCAGAGGAGCGCTGCTTCAAAGCATAGCTGCAGATTTGTTCATAATGTCTTCCCAACAGTTTCACTGACATCTACACCGGATGTCCAGGAAGCGTTCACGATGTCTTCTCCGGCGCTGATAATTGGCGTCCGTCTTGTGTCAGTGACGTAAAAGACGGATTTAATGCGACATCATCAAACAGCAGTCGCTTTCTGAAACATCGGATATGTATCGGATTCAGGACCACATACGACAGTGACCCAGGTCAGATTTGTGCCGTTCACACTGTCATAGCATGATGGGATATGGGTCGCACAGGGTCAAAACAGTCGGATTGGATGTGCTTTCGCCTGCAGTGTGAACGTAGCCTTAAACTCTGTTATTGCACTGCCTGCCCGCTCAGCAGGGTGACGACCATAAGCCTTCCACAGCTGAGGGGTAACGGGTGCACTTCCTGACAAATGCCTCTTGCTCTGATATTCAATAATAATAACAATGTAGACTTTATTAGACTTGTAGGAAATGAATCTTCTGCATTTAAGCCACTCAGGGAGGCAGTGGGCAGCCACCAATCCAGCACCCGGGAGCAGCGTGCAGGCACGGTGCCTTGCTCAGGGGCACCAAAAGTACAAACACCAATTTTGGACCTGATTGTACTGTATATGCATACCACCTGCTTAAGGGATCACTTTGGTGTGTTTGATGTGGGATTTTATACACTTTCTAATATGTTTGTCTGGCTGTTACCTGGGCCAGGTCGAGCTGCTTAACTAAAGGTAAATGGACACATGAATGAATACATTTATGTGTGTGACAGACAGTGTGGTAAACTCTGCGTCCTCCTGACTGTGAACTATGACCCCGTGCTGTGTACCATTCACTCGCTGCCTGCTGGTTTCTCACCTTTGTTGTCAGCAGCAATGAAGCCCAGGATATTCTCATGTCTCAGCATCACAGTCTGGTAGATCTCAGCCTCACGGAACCAGGAGCGCTCCTCTCGGGAAGAGAAAATCTTGACAGCCACCTCCTCGCCGCGCCATTTGCCGCGCCACACCTCACCAAAACGCCCCTTCCCAATGCTTTCCTGGAGGATGATAGTTCTGGCAATTGTTCTTTGGACCAGCAGTGGGAGACCTGAAAGGAAGTGGACGGACATATGAGTGATGGTCCTGCCACGCACATCCAGAACTGAAGTCTGCGTCCCCATCTGGACATCCACCTCATGACTGTTGTCAGTAATCAGTGTTAGCATAGAGTTTGATCTGGTCAAATCCAGGTGACTTGATTAGGTGATTATGTTTTTGCTTTGCCCCTGATGACTCATAAACTTAAGAGCCTTAAATGAAGAGAGACTTCCTGATCCACAAATCCTCCTGCCGTGCTGGGACCACACCCACCTCAACACCCCTGAGAACTTTAACATTCCACTTGTTTTTCCTTTAATTTAACTTTATTCATTCATTTATCGTGGCTCAAGAGTTGGGAGTTTGTCTTGTAATTGGAAGGTTGCCGGTTCGAGCCCCAGCTCCGACAGTCTCGGTCGTTGTGTCCTTGGGCAAGACACTTCACCTACTGCCTACTGGTGGTGGTCAGAGGGCCCGGTGGCGCCAGTGTCCGGCAGCCTCGCCTCTGTCAGCTGTGGCTACAATGTAGCTTCATCACCAGTGTGTGAATGTGTGGATGACTGCATGTGTAAGGCGCTTTGGGGTCCTTAGGGACGAGTGAAGCGCTATACAAATACATTTACCATTTATCGACTTGACTTCCAGCGCTGTCGGCTGCCCTTATAATAATACATTATATACACACACACACACACACACACACACACACACACACACACACTTCATTGTGTCGTATATGAATAAATAAAAACAACTGAAACAGGATTTTTGATCCTTCCTCAGCCGCTTTTATAATAATAATAATAATAATAATAATAATAATAAATTTTATTTATGAGCGCCTTTCAAGTCACCCAAGGACACTTTACAATAGGATAAAACACTTAGTAAAACAATGGCAGAATAAGAACAATAAAATAAAAGCACAAGATAAAATGAACAAACAGTGGATTCACAGTGAATATGCAGATTGAACAGATGAGTTTTGAGTTGGGATTTAAACTGGGGGAGAGAACCAATATTTCTTATTTCACAGACTTTCTCAAAACCATCAACTAAACAAACAGCCTGCTGTAGTTGATGGTTTCATCTGAATCAGCCGTCTAACTCCTGTGAATCACAACAGATGGAGGGTCCAGTGCACCCCGTCTGGGACCTACCCTGGACCCAGGCTCCACGGCAAGTCTTTACCCGTGCAAACCGATGTTGGACCACAGAGGTGCTCATAGGGGCACATGGCACCAGGACGCACTAGGTCACAGGTCAATAACAGATTTAGAAATTGTGTCATCAGATCTGTGGTTGGACACGTGTACCCAAACGTGCAGCGGGAGAGCCAACATCTCAGTCCATGATATCTTTATCTGCTTTAATCGCATTCTGAGGGAGGCTGAGGACGTTGAGTGGACCATGCTCCTCACCTCTGAGGCTGCTGCAAGGAGTTGCAGCTGCAACAAGGTGCAAGGTGAAGGGAGCCGTCTTACTGGGCTTGGTTAGCCTGTTGGGCCAGCCTTGGAGTGGTTTAGGTGGTATTCTGCACACACCATTTACAGTGGTGGTGGGATGCTGCTGACCTTAACACAATGAAAGGAACACTGAGGATCTGCCTTCTGTAATGGAAGCAGAGGCTGGGGAGCAGGGCCCCTGGGGTGGATGAGATTGGCCCTGGAGGTTAGGGATGTCCTGGCTGACACAGCTCTGCAATGCTGCGTGGCGATCTGGAGCAGAGCCCCCCAGGATGGGTTTGTGATCGCAGTCCTCAGCCTGCCTGGGAAAGTCTGTGGCACTCGAGGGTTCTAGGGTTCTGTTGGTAGAACACTGGACCAGCTCGTCATCCTCTCAGTGACATCAGAGGGTGAGTTTGCCGACCAGTCTGTGGGTGTTTTGTGGATGGATGGGTGGGATGTACTAGCTGTGCATGCTCTCTGATCACAGACAGGAAGCAGTGAAGAAGAGGTATGCACAAACAGTCCTGTGACAGAATGCTGCTTTAATCCAACTGTATGGACTTTTAATGGCAGCAGAGTTAAAGACTGAAAGTCATCAAACTACGATCCAAGAACAAGTGTGAAAATCGTCTCACTGCTTTGGAAAACTGCTCACAAGACACAGGAAAAAAAGTGCAGACTCACACAGAACATGCTCGGCAGCATGTTGGAGGTGCCGTCATCACTCATGGCTACCATGCAGGACAGCGTTGAACACACATTTTATAGGACGGGATCAGTGCATACAAAAACGTATCCAGTCGACCAGATCTCGTATCATTTAAAGCTGTTTTCTTCCTGTTTGAAACAGCGCGATGGCGCCGTGGTCACGGCCGTCACCTAACAGCTGTCTGGAGCCAGTCTGTGGGCGTGCACACCCACTGTGACACACTGCCTACCTGTAAGTCATCATTCTGGCCCTACGACAGCTGGACGAAGCGGGATTCATGCGTGCGTTTGCACGGGAATTTAGTTTTGGTGATTCCACCTATTACACCTTTATTGTGTGCATGAATGCAAAGCCTGTCAGGAATGATGCAGCGTGTGGATGTGTTGAAGCCAGAACAGGAACTTTCCCAGGGGACACATAAGGAACTGGGACTGCTGTGAAGGTTCCAGCATCGAGCTCCAGTCTGATAGTTTGAGGTTATGAATAAATAAGGAACATTTGAAACATTTTAGGACTAAATCAACATTTCCCAAAGCAGTTGTGAACGAAGTGTGATGTTTTTCACCTCCTGATGCACAATGAAATAATTACAGTCACCTTTTGCATTCACTTCAAATGTCTGACATGCTTCCCTTTCCTGCAGCTGATCCGAGCATGCACGCACTTCCAACCTCCAACTCTTTCACTGCACCACGTGCAAAGACGAGTAACCGGGTCGTGCTGCACACATCACCAGCACCCTGACCGTGGTAAAAGCTTTAAAGGAAAGAAACCATGTCCACTTTGGCCCGACGGCCCTCATTTACTAACATCACTTCTTTCCTGTGCAAAAAACAAACACTTGCTGTCAGATTTATGAAACATGCTCATCAACCTATTTTGGTCAAAAACTGTGCATATGTTAGCAAGTAGAGCAGGGCGATATGGCCAAAAATATTTATCACGATATATATTTGAAAATTTGCGATAACGATATAACCGACGATATAATTGATGCGAGACAAAATACAACTCCACAACATTACTAGCGCAAAAAGACAACCTTCCATTTATTTTCACTTAAACAAGAAGCTGGTTTTTATATACATTAAAGCTTTATAAAAATGTAACAGTGCAAATGCAAATTCCTTGCTGAAAGTTTAACCAAAAGGCATTTCCAGTAGAAATGGGCTGACATATCCTGAGCATAACCATGTATAATATCCACTGAAGTTAAAAAGAGCTGCTTTGCAACATTAAACTGCAGTGTGCAGTACGCATTTTTCGGACCATAAGGTGCACGGGATTATAAGGCACATTAAGCGAAACAAAGCAGTCAGATAAATCAAACTTTATTAAACTCATTCTTCTTGTTTCCTCCACTTCTGTACCATTGATTCATTAATGTTGAATTCTCTGGCAGCTGCTCTATTCCCATGTTGCAGTATATTAATGACTAACCTCGTATTGTGGATGGATTATCTCAGTTGTTCTCCTGACTGAAGTTTGGTCCGTTTACAGCATCCTGCCATGCGATTGCATTTGTCTCTAACCATGAAGAACCTTCACGTTAACTTTTATAAGTGGAAAAGTGTTAGTGTTCATCCTCCAGCTTCACTGTTTATGTTATGCTAACATAGCTGTGTCGCTAGCGATCACGTAGCACATCATTATATACCAGCTAGCCCAACTTCAGTAACCCTACAAACGTCACTGCTGTTTAGTTTCCTGTCTTCATTTATGTTGGAAGTGGTAGCAGAGCTGTACGTTTGAATTTTTTCAGAAATCTCTCAGTCAGAACATGCTATATCATGCTTAGGTAACTAGCGAAACTAGCGAGCTAACTTCCGCTAGCTTCCTGCTAACTTCTAACTCCATTAAATGTAATAACTTTTGTTTTCATGGATGCCTGGAAGTTAAACTTCATAGTTACACCTGGTAAAGCAGCAATGCTGATCGTTTTATTAAAGATGAAAGAATTTAGACAGTTTTTAACTCTAAGTGATGCTGCAGTGTTGTTTGACCTGAAGGGTACGGAGTTTAGGACCCAGATTACTCCCAGATTTAAGAGCATCTTAGTCCGACAAATACGACAATAACGACGGCCGCTTGCATGTTCTGCAAAAAATGTGCTTTGTTGTGTATCTGACGGACAAACACCAAACCAGTTCCACATCACTGAAGTTGCACCATTTTTACAAACCAATTCTGGTTCATCTGTTTCACTCAACAATCGGCCATGTGCGTATGAAAACAAAGGCACTGCGCATGCGCGTTTTACTCCCATTCTATCGCGATATTTCATTTTCCTATCATTGCCTAACATTATACCAGTATTACCGTGAACGGTATAATATGGCCCAGCCCTATTAGCAAGTCTGACTTTTTGAATTGGAGCAGGTAAACAAAGACAGGGCCACGTTCAGCACTGTGAAGCATCTCCTCTGCTGTCATCAAAAAGCATCTCTGAGCAGATGTTGTCCTGCCCCTGTTACATGTACGCTTCTAGCTGCTCAGTCCGAGACCTCTGTCACAGTTCTGTTTCAGTCAAGTGTCTGTTTGGCCCCTGGACTCTTCTATGAATCCATGCTGCTGTTTTACCTTTATATACCTTTGAAATGTCTAAATCCTCCTTCAGCTGATCACTGCACAAATCAGACCCTGAGATGTAGCGTTTTACCTGATCCAGAGCCTGAAGTGGTCATGTCATAGATTAGGTCCTTCAGTGTTGTTCCCACAGTGATGAAAGGGTGGTCCATGGAGGGGTCTTCCTCATTAGGCACCCGATGGTGGTGGTGGGCCCCGGCTCCCCCGGCGCCCAGGCCTCTGTGGCTGTGGCAAACGTAGAACGCCAAAACCAGCAGCAAGCAGAGGACACATACAGGGCCAGCAATGACAGCAGCGAGGGCCACCGCCCCCAGAGGAGAAGGGGTCGCTGTGGGGCCTGCAAGACACAAAGAGTGTTGGTCAGAATACCTGCTGACCCAAAGCCTGGACCTGCGCTGGCCTGACTGCAGCCTGGAAGCATAAAGGTTAATGTGACGACGAGCCTCAAGTCCTCGTTCTGTGGATCTCAGAGTGCACGACACAGGTTTACGTGGATTCAGGACCTCAGTCATGCAGTGCGGTAGAAACACATCCCCACTGGATCGGGCTTTTTGAACCTGGTGTGCAGCTACGTGTAGCTTAGGTTTGTGTACTCAATCAGCTGGTTACACCTTCTCTTCACCAGCAGCGCCCATACTGACGTCATCATGATGGTAAAAACCATCACAACCGTGCACTTCACAGCAGCTTCACCAGCAGATGTGACCCCGCGAACGCATCATTAATCCCCCCCATCTATCTAACGATCTACCTGGTGCACTGCGCCGAGCGTGTTCGTCTGCTACCAGACAACAGCGGCGTTTTAGACCAGCGAGGGAATGAGAGTCACTGCTGTTTGGATTTAGCGAGGAGGACGAACGAAATGTCATCATTAGAAAAACAGGAATTCTCACCTCTAACACAAAAGTACAAAAGTAGAAGTACTATGAAATACTATGTTCAGCCTCAGTTTGTTCAAGCTTAGCTGGGTAATGCACCTGAAACCCATCCGAGTCCACCTCGCACTACATCACTACAACACTTATTTTTGGGAAAGTCCAGACTTGAGCCAATGAAAGGGCAGTCGTGCTCTAAAGTCCTCCAATGAGGCTGATGTAAAACGATTCTGAAAAGACGAGTGGGCCTCACTCCCAGTTATCACAAACACACGAGTGCAGTTCTTGAAGCAGTTCTTTGGTTTAGGGCATAATTACTTTTTCACGTGATAGTTTTGCGTAGCTCGTTTCCACCTTAATAAATCATCGTTTAATGAAAACTGCATTTTATATTTACTTGGGTTGCGTTTTTTTATTTATTTAAAAAAACATGCAAACAGTTTTTCTAAACTGCATGTCAGTGCAGTCACCCTCAGCTCCCTCTGCACCACAGCAGACCAGTACAGCACCAGTCCACTAAGTGCCCACTGCACTCATGAAAAAGACCCTCCTACTCTAACACTCTCGCTCCACTTTGTTTTAACGACTGAGAAGCTTTTCCACCTGCAGTAGCGTAGTAGCTGTACTTTATAATTAAAGGAAGGCATGAAGAGGCAATATGGCTGGTGTCCTCTTACCAGTGGGGGTCACTGGCTCTTTGTTGCAGTAGTCTGTGGTACAGCACAGTGGGTAAATGCCACTGTCATCTTTGGTAGATGGGGCACAGATGAAGGGTCGGTCTCGTGGGATCAAGTCACGATTGTGCACACACTGGCGCTGCTCAATGGTCATCCGGCTGCCTGACTTTTGGATGGCTACAAAGCAGATACCGTCTGTCGTGCAGCTGGAGTTGGTGCTGCAGCGGTCACAGTAACACTGAAGGCCTGGAAGAGGAAAAAGGGGGGAGGATTAATTCACTTCAACTTTATTTATACAGCACAAAATCACAACAGCAGTCGCCTCAAGCTGCTTTATATTGTACAGTAGAGCCTACAATAAACCATACAGAGAACAATCATATGACCCCCTATGAGCACTTTGGCGACAGTGGGAAGGAAAAACTCCCTTTAAACAGGAAGAAACGTGCGGCAGAACCAGGCTCACATCTATGGGCAGTTAACCTAAGCCCCCTATCTGCATGTGTTTGGACCACGAGACCAGAGAACGCACGCAGACGGAGAGAGAACACGCCACATATGGATCATTTATTCATCAAAGACACAAACGCACCACAATAGCCCGATAGTGTCATCACATGATATTATACAGGAGCTGCCAACTCAGCTCTCGAGTGGGCAGTCACAATGAAGCAGTTCATTTCCATCTGTAGCTTCAGGCTGCGCTTCATCGTTTGGCCACCAGATGTCACCAAAGACAACTGTGTCGATAAGCTGTGAGTAATGAAGCTTTTTGAGCTTCAGAAAGCTTCACTGGGCCGTGACTAAGAAGCAGTCATTAAATGAGTATCTCATTCAGGTCTTTTACACTCAGCTTTATGTTGCACTACTCATCAGAGCTAACCAATATTAATATCAGTGCTGGAACATATGCACGGCTGAGGATGGTCATTTGCTGGTATTATGGCCCAAGTGGGTCTCAGTAGGCTGACAAATGCTGATAGCACAACACCTGCAACGAGTAACTCGTGATACATGATCAGGAAAACCTGAAGCAGCAATGCCATCAATGGTGACGAATGCTGACACTGCATAATTCACTCTGAAACTCCCATATTGGCCAATTTATGATGGAGAACTTCCTCCACGTCTACAGAAGTGACGATATGTCAGTGTGGGCACTTCTACAGAAACCAACATTTCTAAGGAATGGGAGTTATGGGAACCAGCAGTGATCTGACGCAGGGACCTAAACTCTTCTGGGATGTGACGAACACGCGCACACACACACACACACACACACACGCACAGTGTGAGCTGGTGTTTAAAACCAAAACAACAACAAAACAAATGTTTCGGTGCATCTGGGACTGTTGTCCTAGTGGGAAGAATCAGGAAGGAAGGAGGGAATATTTGGAAAGAAAACACCAAGCAGAGCTGTGTGAGACGCATTGATCGCTCCTGGTGAAGAAGGCAGCTGTCACTGACTGTACAATAATCATTTGTAGTTTCTGTGAAGTCGTTTGTGTCTGTGTGCGACGTACCACACTACGTAAGCATGTAAAATGAAACCAGCATTCCTGTCTGCGGCTCAGGAGCCAGGTGAAGGTGAAGCCTGAGTTGGTCCTGATGTTTTTAGTGTGGAAATGTTTGATGGACAGCGCTTCATTCTAGGAGCAGGTGCTTAACTGAGCGAGGCGTGCTGTGTAAGATCGTGTAGAAAAACCTGTTCATGAGTGGCTGTCAGTGTTATGGCACGTCTGTGGTGTGTGTGTGGAAAAGACTTCTGTCTGTGGGAGCTGCTGGTGAAGATGCTGCTCGACTCCTCTGATCAGCTTAAATGACCTGCTTCAGTGGGTCCACAGGGAACTACAATGGACCAAGGAATCCACACCTTGCTTGCCATGATAATCTCCCACACTCGTTTCCCCCTGAAAGCAGCCACTGATTAAAACCTGCTGTTTGGACCGTACAGATTTGTTATTCTGCCATGTTGCTAGGCTACGGAGTGCTCTGTGAGTGTGTCGACAAGGAAAGTTCGAACGTTTATGTCGTCCTCAGTCTTGCACTTAATTAACCCTTCATTCAGTGAGCTGTCAGTTACAGTAAACCAACAGCAGAGATCATTAAAACTGGAGGGGTGTGTGTGTGTGTGTGTGTGTGTGTGTGTGTGTGTGTGTGTGTGTGTGTGTGTGTGTGTGTGTGTGTGCACATCATTCATACTGTAACACACCACGATACGGAAAACGAATAAAGTCATACAAGAAGTGATTACTAAGGTATTTTTAGTCACTGGTCTCATTCATTCATTGATGGTGTAGTTGTTCCACACACCACTGCTTTTGTTTTATTTGTGGTGAAAACAAACTTTAAACCTGCTACAGAGATTTCTTTATGTCCTCTCATGTAAATCCTCACAATTCCAGACTATGACTGTTTCTTTTATTGCCTCACTGCATCTCAAACAAAGCTGTGATTTTTGACCTGATATGAACCCGCTCATACAAACAGACCAATAGGAATGTGGCCTCCCAACAACACAAACAACACAAAGCACAGAGGTTCACTTTAATCTGCGTCTGCGTCAGCAAGCCACGCTTTCTGTTTCCACTCTGGTTTTTAAGCAGAAGTCTCCGAGTATGTGGCGCAGCAACATTTCCGTTGTTTTGTCTAGACGTGTGAGACACACCTGAGTAACAGAGTGTGTGTCTGCAGGGACAGACGAGCTGTGTGAGTCACTCTGCTGTCAGCTGGCTTTTATTTACAGCCACATCTCTGCTCTCGTCTGTGTGTGTGTGTGTGTGGTAAATCCAACTACACTGAAGTTAAAGTGTTTAAAAACAGCAGTAATAAGCACAAAGTATCAGCGCCAGCACCTCCATGAAAATAATAAGTGTGTGCATGTCCAGCTGTTTGCGTTTTCCACAGAAACCATCTCACTTTGGATTCTTGGGAACATTTGTCACCAAAGCCCGTTTACAGTTTTCCATGTTCTCCTTCTTTCCCAAACCCCGCTGGGAGGTCCTTTCAGCAGGGACATTACCATCCATCTGATTTCTTCAGCTAATAGCTGTGCACAGCTGCACCAAATATTAAAGTGAATACATTAATATAGCATAACAGACGGTTCAAGTGGTAACCTGAGGAAAACCTGAAACAACCTGCAGTAGGGCTGTTCGATATAACCATATATATCGGATGACGATGTAAAAACATCTACCGTTTCATTTTACACTGTCGTTTGTTTCGCGGTGTCGCAAAATAAACTGTTTACGGCAATATTTTTCATGGTTCTGATGTCACTGTAGTGGCTGTATTAATGTCTTAAAGTTCTCTCTTTCTCTTATATTTAATACAACCACACTACAGACGGACAAGCGCCTGTTTTTATGCGTTGTCGTTAGCAACAACGACGGTAACACCATCGCGTGTCCGCTCGTTTATGTTCCACGTAAACCTTTCACAATAAAGCTCAAGATCCTGTTGAGACCTTTCAAAATAAACTGAATCACATGAAAAAGTATGCAGAGTATTGACGGATGAGAATTAAAAAAGAGCCGCCAGGTGCTAAAAAATAAACCTCAGACTCAAACGTTAGACGCTTTTCCTCGCAGCACGCTGTGTAATAAATACTCACAAAGGAAACGGCGCCGTTACAACTTGTGTCTAAAAATGTATCGTTTCATGCATCGGTCGCTGTCGTTGCTTCGAGGCTCAAGCTTTACTGTGAAAAACTGTTACAGGATAAACAGTTTCGTGGCTCAGAAAAACAAACTATGAGAACACTTCTTCAGATCATATGTATCATATTTGACACGTACAGTGTTTTTGGGACTGTAACACCATCAGTGCGAACCTGACAAACCGAAATAAACTGCACAACACATTTAAACCAAGTAAAAGAAAACAGATAAGCAAATATGATACAAATTAAATGTCATATATGGAAATGTAAAAGTGATCTATTTACAAAAAATGAAACAAAAGAAGGTGAATGTTCTGGCAGTTATTTCCTGGTTCAGGCTGAGTTTAACTTCAGTCTGAGGTTAAAGGTGATAGAAAGAGCTCACACTGAGTGTCATGTTTGCATTTCACTGCTTTCTACTCTGGATGTCTGTTTATACTCAGCTGTAAGTATAAAAGGCTCAACTCTGCAACCTGTTTGTTTCTTTTCAGCTGTTGACTATAAACATTAGTTTGTGCTGATATTGCACTTTTTGAAATCTGCATTTTAAATGTATTTTTAAATATTACTTTAAATACTTCGATTTAAAGTTCTGCTAAAAGTTTCAATGCAAAGATTAGCATCACTGCACTGCCGTGTGTTTTAGGCATACAGGTGTGACAGAACAGCTTTAGTGTTACAATGTTACAAAATGCAGCGAAACATTCAAACAGTTGTATCGATTATAAAATAGACTGTATCGGATTCATACCGCTGTGGGCAGATATCCAACCTTATGATATCAGCGTTGGACATAAAAAAGTGGTATGGTGCCATCTTTACTTTTAACCTCCTAAGTAAATGACAGGAAGTAGTCCAGGAGCCACAGATGACCTTTGAACTATTCCAAGCTCAGTTTTTGATCAAATATAACAAAAAGATTCTTAGCACGTGGTGGGAGGGCTGATGTAACGACCAGCCTCTTTAATGAAGCGCTCAGCTCCAAACACAAGAACCTCAAGTTTGCTGGGACTCAGGATGAGGAGATGCAGTGCAGAGCAATGACAGGAAATCTCTTTACAACTGTTCAGTACATCACTCAGTGTAACATGTGCAAAGACACATGTGAGGGACTGCACATACGATAAGGGCATGTACAGGTAAGTATGATTGAAAAGATCTGAAAGCAGTGACCAGGATACCAAACCTATTGGGTAATCTGTCCTCACATGGACTCCCAGTCTGGAAGCAGTGGGTTGACTGGAACAGGCCCAGTGGCTGACAGAGTAACAGTCTAAATATTAAAGTGGTTCAATTCAATTTTATTTATACAGCGCCAAATCACAACAGTCGCCTCCTTTATATTGTAGATCGTACAATAATAGATTCAAAGGTTGAGTTGGTTGAGGAGAAGAGGGCACAGCTGGATGAAGGCTGGGCGTGATCCTTGGTGCGTGCCGGGCAGATGCTGAGTCAGGTTGACGGCGTTAGGCCTGGGGCGTGGCTGAACACAGTATTGCTTTCTACCCTGTATTACCAAAAGTATTCACTAACCCAACCAAATGACTGGATCCAGTTTTTCCCGTCACTTCCATGGCCACAG